ACGGCACCACCCACACTCCTGCTCGCCTCCTTCCTGCCGATGACAAGGGGGAGCGCGCTCCTAATTCGGAGTACGCTACCTGGTTCCATCAGGATCAGATCATCCTGAGCTACCTGCTGGCCTCGCTCACCGACGATGTGCTTCAGCGGGTCCACCTCTTCGACACCTCCCGCGCCATCTGGGCGCACCTCGAGGAGATGTACGTCACGCACTGCCGTGCCAGTGTGGTGCAGATCAAGATGGATATGATGAATTTCCGCAAGGGCAACCTCTCCATGGTCGACTACTTCGCCAAGATCCGCTCCAAGCAGATCAGCTCGCTGCTGCGGGCCGCCCCATGCGAGAGGAGGACATCATCACCGCTTCATCACCGGCCTCGACAGCGACTATGAGCCACTCATCACGGCTATCACCACTTGCATCGACGTCATGACGCTGGGCGAACTTTAATCCCACGCCATCTCCTTCGAGCGCCGCCGTGAGTACCATGCGGCTCGTCTTCAACTACACATGGGTGGCTCTTCTGTCAACTACGTCGCCCGCGACAACAACTGCAACTCCAACAACCGTGGCAAAGGCAACTACCGCGGCAAGGGTCGCGGCAACTCCGGTGACCGCGGTGACTACAACAACAATAACCGCGGCGGCTACCGCGGTGATCGTGGTGGTGGCGGCAATCGCCACAACGCGAACGGCAACCGCGGCGGTGGTGACCGCGGTGACCACGGTGGTGGCAGTGATGCACGCCTGCAGTGTCAACTCTGCCGGGGCCCCGGGCACTATGCCTGGGAGTGTGCTCAACGTTACAACCACGCCTTCCAGCCTCAGCACTCCAAGATGGCGGGTCTAGCAGCTGCATCACCACCATCCATCCTCGGTGATCCTACCTGGTTCACTGACACGGGGGCCACCGATCACATCACGTCGGATCTGGACCGCCTCACCGTGAGGGGAAAATATCTTGGGCAGGACCGCATCGACACTACCGACGGATCAGGTTTGCACATAGCTCATCGTGGTCATGCTCTCCTTCCTACTCCCTCTGCCAATCTCAAACTTCGCAACATACTACATGTCCCAAATGCTGATAAGAATCTTCTTTCTGTTAATCGCCTTGCCACTGATAATCATGCTTATCTAAAATATTATCCTACTCATTTTCTTATGAAGGATTTGACAACCAAGCGGGTCCTTCTTCAAGGCAGATGTGAAAATGAGCTCTATCCCATTCGGCCCTCACGCTCTCATGCCCTATCCTCAGTTAGGCTCTCTGCTGAAGATTGGCATGCTAGGCTCGGCCATCCATCCACACAAGTAGTTCAACATGTTTTGGCATCCAATAAATTAGCATCATCGAGTCGGGCTTTGACCCATGTGTGTAATGCTTGTCAACAAGGCAAAGCACATCAGCTACCCTTTCCTAGATCCTCAAGTGTGTCTTCGGTTCCGCTGGAACTTATTTTTTCAGATGTGTGGGGACCTGCCAAAACTTCTTCTGGTGGGTTCCAATACTATGTTTCATTCATCGATGATTATAGTAAATTTGTGTGGATTTATCTTCTTAAACGAAAATGTGATGTGTTTGATGTCTTTCGGGATTTTCTCGCCCATGTTGAACGCCTTCTTTCTCGTAAAATCTTGTGTGTTCAATCCGACTGGGGTGGGGAATACGAAAAACTTAGCAACACATTTTTTCGTCAACTTGGCATTGCTCATCACGTTTCTTGTCCACACACACATCAACAAAATGGATCGGCCGAAGGAAGCACCGTCACATTGTTGACATGGGTCTCTCATTGTTATCACATGCATCCATGCCCCTCCGTTTTTGGGACGAGGCGTATTTATCTGCATGCTATCTTATCAACCGCTTACCCAGCCGCGTCATTGGCAACATGAGCCCCATGGAAAAACTTGTTTTCCACCAAGCCGGACTATGTCTCCCTCCGCACGTTTGGGTGTGCATGTTGGCCTAACTTGCGCCCGTATAACACCCACAAACTCGCGTTTAGATCCCAACAGTGTGTTTTTGTCGGGTACAGTATTCGTCACAAAGGCTACAAATGTCTTCATGTCCCTACAGCTCGTTTATATATATCACGCGATGTTATCTTTGATGAAAACAAATTTCCCTTTGCCAATGACCAACCCTCTCCAATACCACCTCGTGTTGCTGAACATGCCATTCTTTTATTTCCATATGACCACATGAACTATGCTGCATCTGTTTCTCGGACTAATCTGGATGCAGGTACTGCTTCGGCGCAGAAAATCCCCTCAACGGAATCCCAGGTAGATCCTGTCTCCCGATCCGCCGCCGTATCAGCCTCGGATCGCGTGTCGCCTGACGACAGCGACGTGGCGGCAGCCGACCGTGGGGAGCCAGGCGACAGCGCGCCAGCCGACCGCACCGGGCCCGCGTCTCCGCCGACCGCCAATCCCGTGGCTCCTGAGGGCGAGCGGGCCGAGGCGCCTCCCGTGTCGGTTTCTGCATGCGCACGCCCCGCCCACGCTGTGGCGGGGCCCACCCCTGCACGGGCTGCTGTGTCCACCGTCTCGCCCCTGGCTGCGGCCCAACTGGCGACTGCGGAGCGGGCCGTTCCCACTGACGGTGCTGGATCCGAGGCGGATCCGGTGGCAGCTCCTGCTTCCTCGTCCGACACGGGATCCCAGGGGGATTCGCCTACACGCTCGTCTGCATGTGCCTCATCTGGATATTCTGTGGCCGTTGGATCCTCTGCTCCGCCTGCTCATACAATGACGACGCGCACGCGTGATCACACCCGCAAACCAAAACAACATACGGATGGTACTATCACGTATAATCCGTCCCGTCGTGCCTTCTTAGCTCTACGGGAACCAGTTGATCATCGTGAAGCAGTTTCATCTCCGGAGTGGCGGCTGGCTATGCAACTTGAGCTCGATGCGTTACGACAGAATGGTACCTGGACTTTGGTTACTCCTCTTCCCCGTGTCAACGTCATTGACTGCAAATGGGTGTTCAAAATCAAACACAAACCGGATGGCCCTATTGATCGGTACAAGGCACGTCTGGTTGCAAAGGGGTTCAAACAATGATATGGCTTGGACTATGATGATACATTCAGCCCGGTCGTTAAACCTGTCACCGTGCGTCTGGTTCTCTCCATTGCAGTCTCTCGTGGATGGTGTTTACATCAGTTGGACGTTCAAAATGCTTTTCTTCATGGCATTCTCCAAGAAGAGGTATACATGCGCCAACCCCCTGGATTTGTGAATCCCTCGGCGCCTCACCATTTGTGCAAACTCCGCAAAGCTCTCTATGGCCTCAAACAGGCTCCTCGAGCGTGGTATTCTCGGCTGAGTTTTAGGCTTCAACAACTTGGTTTCCTCGCATCCAAAGCTGACACGTCTCTGTTTGTCTACAACCGAAGTGGTGTTACCACCTTTATGCTTGTGTATGTAGATGACATTATTGTGGCCAGCTCTTCTACCACTGCTACTACCAAGTTACTTGCCGACCTTCAAGCCTCCTTTGCTCTCAAGGATCTCGGTCCCTTGCACTATTTTCTTGGAGTACATGTGGAGTCATCGCCAGGGGGAATTGTTCTGTCTCAGCAGAAGTATATTAGCGACATTCTTCGCCGTGCAAACATGGAGAATTGTAATGTCTCTACCACGCCCATGTCCTCCAGTGAGAAACTGAGCAAGGAAAGTGGATCACCATTGTCTCAGGAGGATAGTACCAAGTATCGCAGCTTGGTTGGAGCTCTCCAGTATCTAACACTCAGGAGGCCAGATATCTCCTTTGCAGTTAATCGGGTGTGTCAGTTTCTCCATGCACCTACGACTGCACATCTCTCTGCAGCAAAGAGGATTTTGAGATACTTGAAGTATACTCACAGTATGGGTCTGTCTATCCGCAAGTCACCCTCTATGCTGTTAAGCTGTTTTTCAGATGCAGACTGGGCTGGATGCAGTGATGATCGCCGATCCACAGGTGGTTTTGCAGTCTTTCTTGGACCCAATCTTGTCTCCTGGAGTTCAAGGAAGCAAGCAACAGTCTCTAGGTCGAGCACGGAATCTGAATATAAGGCACTTGCAAATGGAACAGCTGAAGTAATATGGATACAGTCAGTCCTTGGAGAACTTGGGGTTTCTCTCTCTCGAACTCCTGTTCTGTGGTGTGACAATTTAGGAGCCACTTACCTATCCGCGAATCCAGTGTTTCATGCCAGAACCAAGCACATAGAAGTGGACTTCCACTTTGTTCGTGAACGAGTTGCAGCCAAGGCACTTGATGTTCGTTTCATATCTTCCAAGGAGCAAGTTGCAGATATATTCACCAAGCCTCTAGCTGAGATGCCGTTTGTCTTAAATAGGCACAATCTGAATCTTTGTGTAGGAAGTTCAGATTGAGGGGGAATGTTAAACTGTATAGATAACCTGATATGGTTAGTATCTAGGTTGTAGTTATCTTGTATAACAACTTGTACTTATATCCTTTGTAAACCCTAGCGGCTGCTCCTAGAGGCGCCCTATATAATGCTATCAAGACC